CTGTCTAACAAGTGGTCCGCAGTGGGCGGATATGTTGGTTCACCCGGAGCGTCGTTTCTCCTTCTGAGGGTGAGCGTCTAGGGATGTGGCACAGCTGGATCACAGGTGTGGAGGTGTTTCGCATCCGTTGGATCAGGGACGTTCTGAGTCGTCGCTAGCACGTCGTTTCGCCTTCTGAGGTTGAGCGTCACGCGGCGCGCCATGATTGGGTAGTGGAGGCGGTGGCTTCTTAGCCGTTGGATCTTGAGAAATTTGGGCCGTTTGTTCCCCTTTAAATAGGGCCCTTAGCGGTAGCATTCTTGTCATTTGCCTCTAAGCGCCTTTGCCTTTGAGTGAACTCAGCTTCCAGACTCTCCAACCTTCAACACTTTATTCTCACTCTTTCTTCCTCCACATTTCTTAGGTAACTTTAAACAATGTCTTTCTCAGATTCTGGTCCTAAGTGCTGTGATCTTCCACATGAGTCGGAAGGGAGCTCTTCCCGTACCCCTTCTCCCCTCTCCCCCTTGAGTCCTTTTACTCTTGCCTCCCTTTGGTAGGAGGCCATGGTGCTCCAGGGAAGGGTAGCCCCTAAGGGTGCCGAAGGCAGCTGTCAAGGCGAGGGCCCTCCTTGTGAGAGTGCTGCTTTTGTGACACCGAGGGAGGCCGAAGAGGCCTACCCATCTGAGGGGGAGGGAACCCTAGACCATGTTCCCGAGACGAGGGCTGCCCAGGTAGTAGCTGAGACTGATGTCTTCTGCCTAGGTTTCTAGAACTCTCTGGATGGGGACCAGGTCAAAGCTCTGGCAAGGCAGTACTTCATTCCCTCGTCTTATGGGATGAGGGTGCCCGAAGTAGGTGAACGGCCATGGACTCCCAAGGAGGGGGAGATTTGTGTCTACCAACATTTCCTCCAATTCGGTCACCGGTTTCCCCTTCATCCGCTCATTGCTGAACTGTTGAGGGCGTATGGGATTACTCTTAGCCAGCTGGTGCCCAACGTTGTTAGGACCATAGTGGCCATGTTGGTGGTGGCTCGGTTCCAGGGGTGGAGCGCTCTTCCGAGCGTTGTTTGTGCCAAGGAGGCATTCTTTCGAAAATGGCATGTACTACCTCCAACCCCGTAAGACCAAGCCGATAGACAACCCTTCTTCTATGCATAACTGGAAGGAAATTCTTCTTTCTGTCATGCCCCAAGGGTTGGTCCTTCAAGTTAGGGTGGGGAGAGGTTAGCTAGGCTGCGGAGAAGAGTGTCCCCGTGCTCACTAGTGAAGAGAACGATGATCTCGCGCAGTTGCTCGACCTGGGGATAGTCCGAGCCCAGCCCTTGGTGGAGGAGGAGCTCCCACTAGTTTTTGCGGGGGTCAGCCTTGCTCTCCTCGATAGGAGAGACCCTTCAATCCTTTAACACGTCCTTTTCCCCCTCCCTTTTTCTTCTTTCATTTTTTTTGCTGCCTTACTAATGGCTTTACTTTGTTTGCAGAGGTGCCAATGGATGCCCACAAGGCTGTTTTGGAACATGCTCAAAAGGAACGGGTCAAGACACCTCAGAGGCCTTCTGATGAGCAGAAGGAGGTCTCTACCCCTACAAAGGAGGGTATTCCCGTTAGGTCCCTGCCAAGGGGACGAAAGCACAGGTCCTTGCCAAAGGGACTTCTTCAACAACTCCCTCAAAGGGAGCCACTCCGCAGATCCCCGTGAAGGGAAAGGGGCCCGTCGAGGAGGGCTGTTGGGGCGCGAGGAGCAAGCGCCGCAGCAATCGGCTGAGGTGCCGAGAGGACCTATCGACGGGGTCGAGGCAGGGAGGAAGAGGCCGGCCGAGGGGGGTCAACCGTAGCAGAAGGTGGCCCACACCAGAAGTTCTGTTGGTGATGCCTTGAGGGGGTCCCACACGGAGTGAATGTGGCCATTTTCTGCTCCAACGCCGTTGGAGGAGCTCGCCCAACGATCTGATCAAATCTTCCGCCCTCAGTGGGAGGTCCGTGAGGGGGACTTGATCTGCAACACGGGAGTTGGCCTAGCGCTGGTAAGTGGGTCCCTGCTAGCTATCTCAGGACCGCTTCCAGATGTTGGGGATGACCCTTGACAAGCTGTACGACCAAGGATTGCAGAGCTTGGTCGAGGTAACAGTCTGTTCCTCTTTGCTTTTCTTTTTTCTTTCGTTCTTTTCTGTGGGTATTGATTGTTTTCTTGTTGCTGGTCTGCCTTCATTTTGTTGGTCTAGGGGATCGGCTGAAGTTGACCTGGCCAATATGGATAAGCTAGAGGCTGAGAAAGACAAGTTTCAGCAGATTGTCACCAACGCCGTGGGGAAGCGCCGTGAGATGTAGTGGTTCTTCGCTGATGAACAAAAGTTCCGCAAGGAGGCCAAGGAGAACTTGAAGAAGATGAAGATCTTCTTGCCAATGAGCAGATTGAGAGGGCTCGGGTCGAGAGCCTCGTCTCCAAGGCTGAGCGACGTCTCCATCAAGTTGAGGAGGGTATCTCTGAGGTGAACAGGCGGGCGGCCGAGGCAGAGTGGAGGGCCGAGGAGGCAACTAAGAGGGCTGCCGAGACCGAGTAGAAGGCAGTTGGTGCCGAGAAGAGGGCCCAGGAAGTAGAGAAGCAAGCTAATGAGCTGGCTGACGTCACTTCCAGGGCTTATTTGGACGGGATCAAGGACACCAAGAAGGCACTCCTGGCGGTGCTTCCAGACTTCGATGTTGAATCTCTGACGGTGATTCCTGATACTCCCGAAGAAGCTGCCGACTTTGCACTTCCTCCTTTAGTTGGTGGCGAGGCTTAAGCCTGGCTTCTTTCTCTCTCTCTCTCTCTCTCTCTCTTTTGTATATGTATTCGGCCTGAGGGGCCATGAAACAAATTTCTAAAGCCAAAGGAATTTTTTGTGCATAATGAAAATCAGAGGAATTTTTCGATCTTTTGCTTCGAATGTTGCATTTGTGTTTTGCTATGTTATCTTTCCTTGTATGTTTTTGCACCATTTTTTGCACTTATGCTTTTGTTGTCGAAGGGTCCTTGTCCCTCCAATAGAAAAAAACACAGCGTGGGACAAGCATAGTTCTCTTCAGTTTACTTTGTGCGTCAAAAGCGTGGCGAAGGGGTGGCTGAGGCGAAGCCTCCGCGGTTAGACCTGGGCTTGTCTAGCTTGACGCCCTTCTATGTGTCCACTTAGGCAGGGCCAAAGAGGCCTGTGATGGAGGGAGGCCGAAGTAGAGCGTGGGGCTCGCCTGACTCTCTCCCCTTACCCTATATTTGGGTAAATAACAAGATGACCTGTTGATGCGAGATTGGGGGCCGAGGCTTAGTCGAGGCTTACTTGCCTCCCATTCTTCTAAGTGTTGAATTCGGCGGAGCCAAAAAGGCTTGCTGTATTGTGGGGTGACCGTGACAGAGAAAAGGTCCGTTTGGCTCTGCGTGGCCTAGGTAGAGCCGAGGCTTGCCTGGCTGCCACATCCCTCGCATGAGCTTTGGCGAGGCCGAGGTGGCCTGCCCTATTGGGGGGGTGGCCAAAACAGAGCTGAGGCTCGTCTGGCTCCGTGGGGCCTAGGCAGAGCCGAGGCTCACCTGGTTCCTGTATTCCCGCATATTTGTTTCTACCCCCCGTGGCCAGAGGAAAGGGGCCAATCAGGTCCATGCCCCATTTGGAAAAGGGCCATGGGCTGCTGAGGGCCGAGAGAGTGCTGGCCAGCCTGTGGCATGAGTTGGCGTGCCTCTAGCATGGGTGGCACCTTTGCACCAATCTAGCTGCGTCCTTGTGGAGGGTAGGCCAGAAGTAGCCCTGCCTTAGAGCTTTTTGGGCTAGGGCTCTCCCGCTGAGGTGGTTACCATAGATGCCTTCGTGAATTTCTTGTAGCACATAATTGCCCTGCTCCGGACGGAGGCATCAGAGGTAAGGCAAGGTGAAGGATCTTCGGTACAACTTTCCCTCCAGCAGGGTATAGTGGGCTACCTGTCGTCTGAGTCACTTTGCCTCATTTCTATCTTTGGGAAGCTATCCAGTTGATAGGAAGTTGACGATGGGATCCATCCATGAAGGTTTGGCCTCTATGGGGAGCACTTGGACTTTTTCGATGGAGAGCCGAAGTAGCTTCTTGATGTGCATGGTCCAGCCGAGGGATCTGCTCGAGGTACTTGCCAACTTGGAGAGAGCGTCGACTCGTGCATTCTCGGCTCGCGCGACCCATTGTAGGGAGAAGCATTGAAAGTGGCATGCTAGATCTTGGACTTTGGCGAGATACTTGGACATGCTTTGTTCTTTGGCCTCGTATTTGCCATTCACCTGATTCACCACCAGCTAAGAGTCATTGAAGACTTTGACATGTGGGGAGCCGAGGTCCCAAACAAGCTGGAGATGAGTGAAGCGAGGAGGGCCTCATACTCAGCTTTGTTGTTTGATTTTTGAAAGTAGAACCTTAGCACAAACTCCAGGACAATATCATCTAGGGTGAGGAGGATGAGGCCCGCTACGTTTCCTTTAGCATTGGAGGAACCATCAACAAAGGGCTTCCATCAAGGTTGAGCCTCGTCGTCCACATGATCCCCCTCAGCATTTTCTAGAGGCTGGTGAAGGGCTCGACTGAAGGTGCACTCCACTATGAAATCTGACAGGGCCTGTGCTTTGATTGTGGGCCTCGGATGGTACTGGGCGTTAAACTTTGATAACTCAATGGCCCACTTCGTCAGGCGTTCCGAGGTCTCAAGTTTGGCAAGGACGGCCTTGAGGGGCTGGTTCATCAGGACCACTACAATGTGGGTTTGGAAATACAGCCGGTGTTTCCTTGCTGAAATCACGAGGGTGAAAGCCATTTTTCTATCTCAGGGTACCTGGTCTCGGCGTCGCAGAGGACCTTGCTGACATAGTACATTGGCTTTTACACGTCATCTTCCTTGATGAGGATTGAACTAACTGCTTCATCCTTGGCTGAGAGGTATAGGTACAGGGTTTCCGGCTAGTCGAGAAGCGGAGGCAAAGTAAGGTACGCCTTGAGCTCGTCAAAGGAGAGTTGGCACTCCTCCGTCCACTAGAACTCTTTCAACTTCTTGATGGCACGGAAGAAGGGTAGGTAGTGGTCGATTGACTTTGACATAAAGCAATTGAGGGTTGCTATTCGGCCGATGAGTTTTTGGGTCTCCATCACCGTCCGCGGGGGTGCCATACCTAGTATGGCCTGTATCTTCTCAGGATTAGCCTCAATGCCTCTCTGAGTGACGACGAAACCTAGAATTTGCTTGATGTAACGCCAAAGGCACACTTGTTGGGGTTGAGTTTCATGTTGTACTTCCGMAAGGTGTCGAAGGTCTCGGCTAGGTCTGAGATGTAGGTCTCGGCCTTTCAGGCTCTTTACTACCATGTCATCCACATAGGCTTCAACGTTCCTCCCCATCTGCTCTTTGAACATCTTGTTGACAAGGCGCTCGTTGGTGGCCCCAACATTCTTGAGGCCGAAGGGCATCACATGGTAGTAGTATATGCCATGTTCAGTGATGAGTGGGGTTTTCTCTTTATCATATGGGTTCATCTTTATCTGATTGTATCTGGAGAAGGCATCCATGAAGCTAAGTAGCTCGTACCCTGCAGTGGCGTCAACGAGGTGGTTTATCCTCGGCAAAGGAAAACTGTTCTTGGGGCAGGCTCGGTTAAGGCCTATGAAATCAATATAGATTTGCCATTTCTCGTTAGCTTTCTTTACCATAACCACGTTTGACAACCAGTTAGGGTAGTGTACCTCTCAAATGAAGCTGATGTTGAGTAGATTTTCAACTTCCTCCTCTATGGCCTTCTAGCGTTCCGGTGCAAAGTTCCTCTTCTTTTGCCAAACTGGCCTAGAGCACGGGTTCAGGCTGACCGAAGGGTTAATTCTGGGCATGTCAGCGGCTGACCAAGCAAAGACATTGGCGTTGAGTCTGAGGAAACTTACCAGTTTGGATAGGATGTCGGGGGGAAGGTTGGACCCGACGTGGACTGTTTTGTAGGGTTCATCCTCGTCTAGGGGGACCGAGACCCTCTAGTTTGAGCTAACTGGCCTTGGCTTGTTGACTCCTCCTTGAGGTCGAGACCCTTTAGTGGCACAACTTCTTTATTCTTTCCCTTCAGCGCTGCCACATAGCACTGACGGGCGGCATGCTGGTCCCCACGAATGACCCCGACGCCATGCTCGGCGGAGAACTTCAAGGCGAGGTGGTAGGAAGAAATGGCTACCTGGAGTGCGTGAAGGCTTGGCCTGCCCATGATGGCGTTATAGGGTGAGCCAATCTTCACGACCAGGAACTCTGTCATCCTTGTCACCTACAAGGGCTCCATCCCTATTGTGACCGGTAGGGAAATCTTTCCCTCTGGTTTGACGATGCTGCCGAAGAAGCCAAATAGTAGGGCATTTACTGGTTGAAGGCGCTCCAGAGCTATCTTCATCTTTTTAAAAGCTTCATAGAAAAGGATGTTGGATGAGGAGCCACTGTCAACAAGGATCCTTTTGATTATGAATTTTGCAATGATGGCCGAAACCACCAATGCGACGTCCTGGGGGACTAATACCCCCTTCAGGTCCTCGTCCGTGAAGGAGAGGGGTTCTTGCTTCTGCTTCTTGGGGGCCGGCCCCTGGATGTTTAGCTGCCTGGCATAGGCTTTGCGAGCTGAAGCCGAGGCTCCACCTGAGGTTGTGCCTCCCACTATGACGTCGATGACGCCTGCTGCTTGCTGGTGCTGCTATTATTGCTGAGAGGACGAGGCGCCAGCCTCGCCTCCGACGTACTGCTTGAGATGGCCTCAACGAATGAGGGACTCTATCTCGTTTTTGAGATCGTAGCAGTTCTCACTGTCGTGGCCCATACCTCGATGAAATTTGCAGTACTTTTTAGGATTCCCCCAATGGGGGTTCTTCTTCAACTTTTCGGGCCACTTCATAAATTTCTCTTGCCCGATCTACATCAAAATCTGCGTGTGGGTGGAGTTGTGTAGCATATGCTGATTGTAAGCCAAGGTCGGGGCCGAAGGCTTTCTGTTGTTGTTATTGTTGCTGCGGCTCTGGTCTCCGTTTTTTCTCTTCTTCTCGGGGGCTCAGTCCCAGTGCTCCGCGCCCCTCTCATGGGCGTCCGTGGCTGAGGCCTCCTCAACCCCAATATACTTCTGGGCCTTTTCTAGGAACTCCAGCTTCGTCTTCGGTTGGCTTTTGTCCATGGGGCATTTGAGGGCAGAGCTTGGGAGGAGCCCACTGATAGCAACATGCATGGAGACTAGGGAGTTGAGGTCGTGGACCTTAAGTTCTTCTTTCTTGAAGCAGTCAATGTATGACCGCAAGCTTTCCCCTCGCTTCTGCTTGATAGTCATCAACGAGACAACACTCTTTTGAGGGCGCCGACTGCTGATGAAACGTACCAGGAGCATGCTGGAAAATTGCTCCCACGAGTTGATGGACCGAGGTGGGAGGCTTGAGAACCACCGCCGAGCGACTCCCTTGAAGGTTGCTTGAAAAGTTCGGCACGTCAAGGCGTCGGAGTACCCATATAGGATCATGAGTGCCCTGAAGCTTTCTAGGTGGTCATTCGGGTTAGTGTTCCCGTCATACATCTCCAAGGCGAGAGCTTTGAAGTTTGGGGGTAGAGGCTTGGCGATGATATCAGGGGAGAAGGCATCCATTCTCCCTTGGCAAGGGCTTTGTCTGGCCGAGGTGTCAGTTCGACCCTCTTTCACCTATTTGAGCTCGGCTTTGACAGCTTCGAGCTTGGCTCAGAGTTTGGCGAACATGGGGTCGGACATGGCCTGCGTGCCATCCCAGACTTCACGAACATGGTGGTGCTCGGCATGGACTCCGGAGTGCTCGGAGTTGAGACCGCGTGCTTTGCATTTAGTGCGATGGTTGTTAGGGACGCCCTAGAGGTCCGAAACGTGAGGGGAAGAGGCTCGATGCCAGCCCTCGGCCCTGGAGTGGGCGCTGGGGCGATCACGGCGCCCGCCTTTGTCCCTCGTGTCAATCCTCTGATGTCAATGGTGTTACTTGGAGGGCTGGTAGGTGTCCTCCGACTGTTTCGGTTCTTCCTCCCTTTTGATGGGAGGTTTAAAGGTGCTAGAGCGTGGGTCGGACGGGTGATTGTTGCCAGACTCTGAGGGCTTGGCCAACTCCGCATGGCCGAGGCTGGGGGCTGAATGGGTGGTGGACCCGTGCCGGCCAGGCTGTGTTGACTCCCCGACAGGGCAGTCACCTTGGGGGTGATCTCCTGCCTGGGGGAAGTTTTTCTCGACTTGCTATGTCAAATATTCCAGGCGGTTGAGCACGTCTTGGAACTGTTCACTGGTGACAAGATTTTGCGTATCTCTTGTTCTTCGTACCATGTTGATTGGTTGGAGCTTGGGGACTTGTTAACTTGCTATAGTTCTTTCGGGGAACGTATCAGTGTCATTCCCACAGGTGGCACCTGCTTGAAATGGCCGAGGACAACAAAGTAATTCCGTCCCTGGACTTCGAAGGCTGGCCGAAGGCTTTGAGGACTTGGAGAGATCGTTGCTGAGGCAGAGGTGTATAGGCCGAGGTGGGGTGGACTCTAGATACGGTAGAAGCCGTGGGTAGACGGCCGAAGTGCTGCAAGGCAAAAGCTCGTTAGGGGCCCCGGGTGAGAACCCGAGGCAGAGTCTCCGACGGTCAAGTTAGTACAGGGTACGAAGGGAGAGTACCAGGATAGGATCCTGGTAGATAGTTCTAGACTAAAGTCATAATAGCAGTTATTGCAATAGCTATTATGCCAATAGCTGTAGGTCTTGAGTTTTTGTAACCCCTTTATCAGGAGGGGGTACCCCTATTTATACTTGAGCTGCCTCGAGGTAGGTGGAGATGAACGCCTGAGATGGGAGCCGTACGAGGGTCTGCAGTGGGTTTGGCAGGGTCATATGAGTGCATTGCGGTTGGCTCCGTACGATGGGGGTAGGATAACCCCTGCTTTTGTGGATCTCGTTCCCTGATTTGGCGCTCGTGGGCTGGGCCTCCCATCCTCAAATGGGCTGGGTTGGGTCACCCCACATCACTTATCACTGGGCGATGTTTTCTATACACAGTTGAGATGTGCTGTGAGACGTTGTGGGCACCCCTTGTGCGGGGCTGATTTGAACACTATGCGACCTAGATGAGATCCCGATTAGCTGATGCTTTGAAAGAAAATGTGTGTTACTCTTCTTCTATTTCTGCTCTAGCTTATTTTATAGTTTGAAGCATGGTTTTCAAAATCAGATTGGACTGGAAAAATCGGAAATCAGTCCGTTTTATCCCAGAACTATTATTTTGCAAAAAACAGTTGATTTGGTCAGCAAATTGCAGACCTGGTGGTCAAACCGTTTGAACCATCCAACGATTTTGGCCACTTTTTTATATTTTTAATTTTTGTCAGAATTGGCCATTCGGTTCAAACGATCAGACCGTTTGACCTAAGAATCAAACCCTCAGGTTGATGAGCTTTGAAACAACTTTTAATGGTAGGGTAGATAAGCCTTGTTTAAAATTTCACCTATTTAATAGCTAGCCCTAGTTCTTTTGATTTTCCTTGTTCCTTTTCCCTAATCTTGGTGCTGATTGACCTTCCTAAAAAATTTAAATTTAGAGGGAAACCTCATATGTATCATGTTTGTTAAAGACATCTAAAAAAGCCAAATAATTTTAAATCACAGAGACAAACGCATCGGCTTCTACCTAGTCTTTCCATAAAACAAGGCTTAAAATCTAAATAGAATGGGAGTCTGTGGCTTATAAACACGTGCTGTTTCTTGCTTGGGTAATCCGCTATTAATTAAAGAGTGTCTTAATAACTTGCTTGTTTCGTTGAACCACAAGCATGTCTGTCACTTGTTTCACTTGAAAACTGGTCTTCTCGAGAATGGTGGATTGATGACGGCATTTTTATTGTTTGAATAGATAATGAAAAATGAAAACCACCCCTTCTTCTGGTCATTCTTGGAGCTTATACTGCTCTTCTAAGTCTAAGAGATATCTCCTGTTCAACGAAAACTCTCTCTTACAAGTTACAAACATAAATGGCACAAATAATTCAACAATATTATTAGGTCCTGTTCCACATTCTCCAACCGAATGAGGTCTAATTCTACAGTTCAATGTTGCATTTTCGTCTGTCTGGATGCAATTCCAGTCAGAATCACTAGGCAAACGCAAAATCAGTCATTTGAAGTAATTTTTCCCTCCATCCTCCTCTTTCCTTCTTTCTTTCAAATTTTWTTTATTTATTTATTTTGGTGGAGACAATTTGCCCAAATAGGACATCATTTCTCAAACAAAAGGAAGGAAAAGCTTTACCAAACATTTAACTATTTTTCCATGTTAGGACAGACATCTTCGTTTCATTTGGGTCTACATCACATCAGGGTTTGATAGAAATGAAGCAGTTAGCCAATTACCCATGACCGCCAAAAGAAGGCTCATATTTTCAGCTCTATCCGGTCGGCTCCGCTCTTAGACTAGGCTGTATAGCATATAAACTCATATGCTTACAATAAAGCTTTTGACCTTTTCTGCAATCTCCATTCTCCCATAGAAAGGAAAGCCAAAGAAGCCTCTCTCTCTCTCTCTCTCTCCTTCCCAGTTCCCACCCATTTATTTATTGTTGTAAAAAAAGAAAAGAAGCTTTTGAATGTCCCTTTCACGACAAAAAAAAGGGAGCCTGGCCACCATCCCACATCCCAACTTTTCTTTTGTATCGGCCTTGCCAAAGGTCAAGCCTCATAAGCTTATTAATTTATTCAGGGATTCTGTGACAAACGTTAGTCCTTTGACACTGGAGGACAATCCCAGTATCTCAAATTGGTTCCAAAGACATTAGCCATTTACAATTGACCATAGAAGAAATTAAGAAATCCATGCTACAACCCATCAAGCCTCCTATCTCTGTCTCCTTTGTCCCTTCCCTTTCAGCCCTTTTGAGGCCGCTCTTTCTCCTCTACACACTCTTTTATCTTCTGTCTCTATGCATGTCCCACCTCTCCACCACAAACACATCCAAAAGAGTCAGACGGGGTCAAACTAAAACCATAGGTGTAAAATGTATTGAACCAGTTACTGACTTACTGTGATATAGGGGCATATTTGGAAATGTAACTGGAAATATCATGTGTATGAAAGTAAGCTGCTGCGTGACAGGGACGGTCACCAACTCCCACTTGCCTACATAACGAGAATACTGAGCAAGTGTCAATGTGGGGATTGGGTTATTCTATGTACACTTCAGAGTTCACACCCACTATTCCCTTCCTCCAGTTTGTCCCTTTTAGATTGGTTGAGAAACATTGACGTTGAAGACTATAAGACTTCAATTCATGTTTAAAAGCTCACAAACTGATTTTCTTCTTTTTAATTCAAAAGCCCACAATTACAGAAGAAGTCCTGTACTCCTGTGGACTCTGGCCCTTCCCTTCAGGCGAGCAGGAAAGACTAGTAATGTTCTTCCTTCAGAGCCTGTTCTCACCAAGTGATCGTTTCCTGGTTGCTGCAATGCAAGTGTTAGCAGCACTTTTGAGTCTAATCAGGCACTGAGAAGAAGCCATCTGACCATTGGACCTGTGGGTTTGGCGGGTCATTTTTCAACTGCAATCTGGGTGGGTTAACTCGCTCTCTCGCTCTCTCAGTCTGTGTCTTTCAGATAGGTGTTATGAGTTAATAAATGTTTGTTGGATGTTTTCTCTTTCTGTTCGTTTTTTCCTGAACACTTGTCTTTTCTGCTTTAATTTTTTTTTTGGAATTACAGCTGTTGAAACACATCTTCAAGAAATGGGGTTTGAAGCGAGCTCTGGCATTAAACCGCAAGAAGTAAAGTTGCAGGATTATACTTTGAACCCATCGAAGTCCATGCAAGTAACAAGACACATGCATTCAAAAAGGTAGCTAATCTCATTACTACAATTTCATTCATTTCTCTCCTCTTCTATCTTTTGTAGTTCAATACAAGTGTTTATCTATGGGTTCTTGGCAAATAGAAAATTAGAGATTGGAGTTTGTATAGCTGCATATATCGTTTGTGCCTTCCGCCATTTGTACAGTAACAGGGGTAGAAAAACAACACACAAACACATAAACGCACACCACAAGTTAAAATTGCTGTTATGTGGTGTTTTTTGTCTAGCGGCATTTAGGCATGAGGCTTTGTCTTGTCTGTGACTGTAGCAGTTATCATTCCTCCCCACTCCCTATCTATATGCCTAAAAGTAAAAGTAAATTTGTGTGATGAAGACATTCTCAAATGGGCTGGGGGTATGGGAGCGGGATGAAAAAATTTTGAGGATCCCTGAGGAAACAGAGGTGTGAAAGTTCTTATTTATTCGGTTAGATTAGAAAAATGCAATTTTAACTTGCCAAAGAGCTTGTGTGACTGAGACTAGGTCTTTGTAATGACAGTGATCCAGACGAGAAAGTGAAGGAAGAAAACTTGAACGTTTCCCCTCAAGATCCGCATCGTCCAAAGTTGGTAAGATATCATTTTTTTCTTTGGCATTTTTATATTAGAAATTTTAGAATGCTGAGTTGGAGGTTCTCTCTTCACATTTGCATGATGTTTTATTTTACATCACCTCGAGTCTCTTAGATTTAGAGTAAAAACCATTAGCAGAACAAATGCCTTGACCTTCAATTTCTTGATATTTGGGCTTTTCTATTTGCTAATTGGAGTACGTGACTGTTATAGACACACAGTCGACATGATGACCTCTTTCTGAAAATATTTCCTTTTGAACAATTAACTTGTAAGCATTGTTCAAATGTTTGACATGAGATCTTTTATGGCACAAGGATATGGGACAAGTGATAGGTGACGACAAATCCAAGATGAACAGTTCCCCTAGGACTGGCATCCAATGTTCATTGAAGGAAGAGGTATGGAGCTGAACAATTGCACTCAGAATATAATCTGTTCAGAAAATCTACAAGGCTATGGGGATATTTGGCATTTTTGGTTATGCCAATTCTAGGTCACCTTAAGTATTTCATAAAAAAAGTCACCTTAAGTAAAATTATGTTTAATCTATTTTCTGTTATGTCTAATCATTGACAAAAGTCAGTATTTTTTTTTAAAGTCAGTGGTCTGTGATCCATTTACCTCATGTACATGCTTGATAAGATTCAACTTTGTGACTACCTTGTTGGTTAGTCTTTCCCTCTACCTATTTTTATGATATTTGGCCTTTATGCAGATTCTACAGCTTGAAAAACGGTTACAAGATCAATTTGTTGTGCGGTGTGCTCTGGAAAAGGCATTGGGCTATAGGAGCTCCTCTAGCGATATTTCAAATGAGAACTTAATGCCAAAGGTAATGCTTTCCTGCTTTTGCTAATGGAACAGAGAAACATTTTTCATGTGTATATGTAAACCATTACTATTTGCTAGTAATGCAGGGCATAATTGTTAATTAGATGCATTTTCTGTTATGGAGTAATGGTATGTAAGGGTTGTCTTTCTTTATTTTCATAGGGCTTGTCTTAATGTCATTGTGTTGGTTTTCTAGCATTACCATTTTAAATATTACCATTTCTAACACCAAACTGCACTTCAGTTTGCTAAGGCTTAGTTTGGAAGTAGTACAAATACAAATATGTAGAGTGCAAAACCTTATATTTTCTATGTATTTGCATTGTACATATATGTATTTGTACTCCTTCCAAATTTAGCCTAAATGACTAATACATTCTTATTTGCCCCAAAATTTGTTTTTAACCATTTAACTTACGACATCTAGCTTCAACCAACTAATAAAAGTGCTCTTTTATTTGAATTCAGCCTGCCACGGAATTGATCAAGGAGATTGCCACATTAGAATTGGAAGTTGTGTATTTGGAACAATATCTTCTCTCGTTGTACCGGAAAGCATTTGACCAGCAATTTTCTTCCTTATCTCCATCTGCCACGGATGAAAGATTAAAATCACCCTCATTCACACAGAAAGAGATGTTTCTAGAAGTTACTGGACCTGATATAAGATCAGAGAGAGAAGATTTAACAATTCAATCTGGTAATCTGCCATTGACACAAGATCCAATTGCTGATCCACAGAAGGAATTTAATGCTATTGGGGATACAGAGAAGTTATTAGATTCAGGCATTCACCGCAGCCATTCCTCACTATCGCAACATACAGCTTCTAGATCTTCTTCAATGGATGCTGTAGCTAAAGCTGTACGAGCATGCCATTCCCAACCTTTATCTATGGTGGAGGTAGCTTAACTCTTTTAATATAATTATCTGTTTTTAGATTTTCTGTTAATTGACATTGCCTCTTCTCTCCTTAATTATGAGTTTCTATTGCTTCTCTACTGCAGGCCGAAAATGCTACTTCTAATGTAATCAGTCTGGCTGAACATCTGGGTACACGAATCTCTGATCATGTCCCTGAGACACCTAACAGGATTTCTGAAGATATGATTAAGTGCATGTCAGCTATATATTGCAAGCTTGCAGAGCCTTCGTTAATGCAGAATGGCATTTCATCTCCTATTTCATCAATGTCATCAGTGAGTGCATTTTCTCCACATAACCACTGTGATGCATGGAGCCCTCGGTGCAGGAAGGACTATTCTTTTGATGCACGGTTAGATAATCCTTTCAATGTGGAAGGGTTAAAAGAGTTCAGTGGCCCTTATAGTACAATGGTAGAAGTGCCATTGATTTGCAGAGATAGTCAGAAGCTGAGTGATATTGAAGACATGCTACAAAATTTTAGGTGAGACTTGTGATCTTAGTGTTTTAACTTGCTGCACTTACCTTTGTCTCAGTATTCTGAAAACTGTACTGGACACTGAACTGGGAAAGCTTCCAGTTCACAGTTCTGCTGGCTCAATTATGGTTCGACTGGCTTGACTGACACCAGCACGATGACATGAATGGACTGAGATAAAATAAAACTAAATGGCAATAATGGGAAATTGGGAACTTGTTAAAAGGCCAATGGTTCAGTTGTGGTCAATCATGGTTTTGACTTTTGAGCAAATAACAGTTGTTAAACCAGGTTCAACTAGGCAGCAATCTGGTTTTCAAAGCATTGCTTATCCTTATGAGTCAATCAATTGTTTCTCATTCTTATCATTCATTTTGAACCAAGGATGGAATAATAGATATGCAATTGGAATCAAGATTAATCCTTATTGAAACATCTAGCATTGATTAGGATCCAGTTTCTGTGTAGAATGCTGAACAGTGCTCCTTTGATAAATCTAGAAGGGTAGGCGGATAAGTCCAGTCTATGAAGAAGGATGCTTGGCATCATGTGCATAATGTTTCTTTGATAAACTAATAAAACATTTCAGTTACCATTAAGAAAAGCCTAACAATCTTCCGAGTTCACTTGTTGAGTGCGGTACTCCTTGGTGAAGTCAGACATTCTGTTCTCCTATCATATCATGTTTATCTGATGATATTACATCTATACTATATAAAGCGGATGCTTGCCTTGGTTTTTGTGCAGGCTATAAAGTTAAATTTGATTACGCAATGTTGACTTATATCTTACCCTTACTTGCACGTGTGGATAGCACGTGCCCCTACACTAGTTTATGTATAATTCAAATTAGACTATGTTCATCTAAATTACTAAATGGATCTAGAGTTGAATAAATGTCTAATCTAGAACCATCACGGAACAAAGTTGATTATGCTGATTTGATATCACCCTGCCTACTTTTACAACATTGCATACTTGTCTTTGTTTTCTGGTGTTAGAAAGGTAGAACTATTTCGGTGGAAAATCACCTTATGATGGTAATGCTGTTTTATTCCCTTGTAAATGTTTTCCTAGTCCTTATAAGCTTGAAGGACAAGATATTCTCTTGCAGGTCACTTGTTTGTCGGTTGGAAGAAGTCGATCCTAGGAGGATGAAGCATGAAGAGAAACTTGCATTCTGGATTAACATACATAATGCATTGGTGATGCATGTAATGATATTTTCTTTTTGTTAGACATATTTGTGATTTTTTCTTCTTGTTCTATTTGTGCTGTGATTGAATGGTAAACCATTTATCTGTGTTCTTCTACAGACATTTTTGGCTTATGGTGTTCCACAAAACAACGTGAAAAGAGTGTCTTTACTCCTCAAGGTGAGCATGGCCCCATTGCTATTCATTTTAGAAGGAAATTCTGTCAGGATTCCATTCTAATACATGTATACAATCCAGTCTGCATATAATGTGGGGGGTCACACTATAAGTGCTGACACAATACAGAGTTCTATTCTGGGATGTCGTATACCTCGGCCTGGACAGGTAGATCAAATAACTTTTATTTTCTTCTGAATATTTTGAATCTTTATGTTTATGTTCAATAAGTACTTGTATTTTCCATAATTTTTTCTTCTGGATTTTTTTTTGTACACCATTTTCTTCCTTCCAAATGATTTTAACTTTTCTCTGACTTATGCTTATGGGAATTTCAATCTAACTGCATGTTTGTAAAGGGGCTAATGAATTTTACTTTTGTTTGTAGTGGCTTCGTTTGATATTTTCAACAAAAGCGAAATTCAAGGCTGGGGATGATCGCCAAGCATATGCAATTGACCATCCAGAGCCACTTCTATATTTTGCGCTTTGTTCAGGAAGCCATTCTGATCCTGCGGTAACCTTCATCCAAAATCTATTTACCATTTATTCATCTTTCTTCTAGTATGAAATGTATTTTTTTTCTAGATGATTTATTTTGTCAGGCAACACTTTTTTCCTGTAAAAGCAAATTTGGGATCTGCCTGACATTTACATGTGCCCATAGGTCTTTAGCGTTTTATAGAAGATACCCACCCAAAAATATTTCTAATTTATCCAACATGAACAATTATTTGCATATGCTTGATTAAATATCTGGATGATAATCAACCTTTCATTTTCTAAGTAGAAAAAATTGGCAATGAGTACATGGCTAGACTAGCACATTCTCAGTTGAGGTAATTTTTGACTAGTTCTGGCCTTAAAAGTTATGGTCATAGATATAGATGAACTTGTAGAACCGCCGTCATGAGTTGGTACTCCAACAATAAAAAAAAAAAAAATCAATCTAAAAAAAAAAAGAACAGAAAGAGATAAAGATATCCCAACCATATGATGTCTTATGATAGTTGTCCATTACTTAATATTGTTTTATTTAGAGCCATATCTTTTTTACATTTTCAGGTCCGCATATACACACCAAAGAGAGTGTTCCAGGAGCTGGAAGCTGCAAAAGAGGAGTACATTCGTGCTACCTTTGGTGTACGCAAGGAACAAAAAATCCTTCTACCAAAGATTGTAGAGTCTTTTGCAAAGGATTCTGGTTTGTGTCCACTTGGCATTTTGGAGATGGTTCATCAGTGTATGCCTGAATCTTTAAGGAAGACCAAGCTCAGGTGTCAGCAAGGAAAATCTCATAAGGGCATCGAATGGATTCCTCATAATTTTGCATTCCGGTATCTGATATCCAAAGAACTGGTCAAATGATTGCTTACATTGATAAATGCCAGAATCTTCATATCAAGGAAAACACCATGATTGTAACTTGTATGAGTTCATGAGAGTTGGTTTTTCAAGATGAAAGCCTTAGTTTTTTTTTTTTTTTAATTTTTCCTTTTTTCTTGTCTGTACAAACAAAAGAGAAGATGAAGCAGGAGATAGGAAGGTAGAAAGGCTGCCTGCAGTTTGTCTTGTCCAATGTAATAATTGTTCTTCTGTATCATGTAATGAGAAGTATCTTTGTTTTGTAGTTGTGAAAAAGTGTTTTGATTTGTGCATTGAACCTAGTACCTAAAACCTCCTGCTGCCTTTGTTGACTGTAGTCTGTATACATGCTACATTACCAAACCAGTATATTTCTTCATGCGACCGATGCAAACAGTCCTATTCTTGACACAAGAAAACATATCGATGGATAAATCCTTAGGCTGCGTTTGGTTGCAGTGGCAGTGCAATCTTATTTGTATTAGTACAAATGCATGGGAGTGTAAATGAAAAAGAGACAAATTCTCGTTTAATTTTGTTTTGACTTTTGAGTTTTATTTACATGCATTATTGTCTTAATTTACTTCATTTGTACTGCAATAAAAAAAAAAAAAAACAAAAATAGGTCAGAATTTACATTCAAATCATTTTCACTGTCATAATTTTGCATCAGTATAAATTTATTTGCATTGCAACCAAACACAATCTGTTCAATTTGGAAAGAGTATAAATATAAATATATACAGTACAAATACATATAAAATGTAAGGTTTTGAACTCTATATTTGTATTTGTACTCTTTCCAAACTAAGCCTTGGTATGCAAGTTGTGCTAGCTTCGGGGTGTTCTACTTCTACAACATGATTTTGTTTTAAAAAAAATAAAACTGACAATCGGCAAAATTGTGTTGYTTTTGTATTAAAAAAATGAAACCAATCATGTTGTCGAACACAGATATTGAATCAGCAAGTAGGGAGAGGGTAAATAGGAGTATTGATGCAAACAAATATGGAGTGTAGGAGTAGTGTTGCCTTGCCGTGTTGTAAAAGGCTCAAGCCCATAGCTGCCAATCCCATGATATTTGTCATTTTGCCTTATTATATCTGCACCAAAACTTTTGTCTCCTGTGCACATCAATGCTTTAATTCATGCCATAGTTGTGGTTCTAGTTTTGTTTTGAAGAAAACAAGTCAATATCATCAAATCAATCAACCACGGTAAGCCTTGCCCCAAATGCACATGTTAATAACGTTCCTTGTTTTTTGTTGGCACTTGGCAAGTTGGCAGGCTACCCAGTGCCCATTACTAGTCGGTCGGCCACTCGTGTAGTCATGCTCTGCCCGTCTGCTTCTTGTCTACAATTCCGTCAATTCTACCCATCTTGTGTTGTATCATGTATGGTAGGCAGTCGAATTCTAATTTCTAATATGTCGCACGCCTCTCCCAGTCCTGGACGCCCCACTACCCCACTATTGCGAGAACCATCCATGCCTGATTGACTCTGCCTGGACCCTTATCAGAATTAACAAGGTTGGGGTTGGGGGGACCCCACCAGCGACCATGCACACTGACACTAAGTCCTCATCCTTCCGTTTCTGTCTACTATAATATATGGTATAATACCAAAAGCAATTCTAGGTATCTTCCACAGTTTCCCGGTGCAATGAAAATGGGAAAACCGGGGTTTTGAGGTTGAACGAAGGACAGAAAGAGCGACCGGTCCAGTTTGATATCCAGTCCGGTTTTCTCCAAGTTCCAACTTCTACCGTCCGAGCGAGGCTGAGGCAACACTGTGTTGTATATAGTGGGTCGGCCACCCACAGATCGATACAGTCCAAACCCCCGTGCTGTATTGGGCTTGGGTTTTGAGGTCCGTGTGCTGGCACGGTATGGCACAAAAAAGTGGCTATGCCAGAACTGCCTGCGGCCCACAGCTCATATATATATTATGAATTTTTTAATTTAATTTTATTATTTTATATATAAATAATTGTATACATCAAAACTGATATGGAATAAAACTTTAAGATTTTTTTTCTAATTTTTATATATCTTGTTAATTTATTTTAATCTTTAATTTTTTTTTTCAAATTTTCAGAAAAAAACAATGCCACCCACAACCCAGCCTGGCCTAGCATGGGCCCGCTTGGGGGGTTCCAGGCCAGGCAGGCACAGCCTGACCCGCTATAGTGTAGATGGCCTTCAAACTAGGGATGGCAATTTTTCCCATCCCCAATGAGGACCTTGTTAGGATCCGATTTTTGCTCAGTTTATCTCCTAAACCTCCAATTCACCCCGAACCTCCGATCATACCCTTCTAACCCTTCTGAAATGCCCAAAACCCCAAAATCCCCAACTTTCACCACCAAAGCTCCCAAATCCACCGTTAAGCCTACTTGATACCTATCCGATGGCCCTCGATCGACCCCCGACCATTGGATCAAACACAACCATCAGGCCCAGAACCTCCCAAAACACCTACCCATGAAATTTGAACTCAGGATTCCTCCGTTCACCCATCTATCAAAAAAAGATTCCATTTCGACCATTCTCACACACAAACCCACCCTTTGTGGTCAAACCCATCTCAACCCTCCATTTTTTATCCAAAATCTCAACCATCCATCCAAAACCCCGGTTTGACCAGACTTTTCCGAAATTGCAAAAATACCCCTTAGATTCCCCAAAATTATAAAAATGCCCCTACCTCCCATATAAATTCAATCGAAGCTCTTTATTCGCCCTAATCTGGAGATTTCGAAGGAAGGGGGTCCATCCCCTTCTTCACTCAAACTAACGACGAAGCAGCAACGATCTCTAGGAATGGCAATGGGGCGGGGCTTCTTGCTAACGAGGAGAAGGTTATCTCCATCCCCATCCCCACGGGGATCCCCATTCCCCGTGATTCTTTATAATGCTAACCATCTTGTTTTTGCTTTTTATTTTATTTTAAAAAATAAAAATAAAATAATTAACATTTTTCAATTGTATTAGAAAATATTCAACCATATTTTTAAAAATATTAAAATATAGATGTATGTTTACATATTTACATATATAACGTATTGGGGATCCCACGAAGCGGGGATCGGGGTCCCCGTGGGCGGGGAGTGCTCTCCCCATCCCCGCCCCATCCCCGCTAACGGGGATGAAAATTAAAATTTCCCCATTTCCGTCACTACGGGGGGAAATCATCCCCATCCTTGCCCCATTCAGGGCAAATCACCACGGGGATTGGGGAAATGGGAAAAATTGCCATCTCTAGCGTTCTCCTCACCCCTCTCGGCCATTCTCTCCACATCTACGGTCTCTCTCTTGGCGAAGCAGTGTCACTTCCCCCCTTCGCTATGTGTTTCTGTCACTACTGCTGCAACTCACAGCAGCGGCGATCTGCTTTCTCTCGTCCGTCCTACCTCATCAATCCCTCCGTTTTCATTATTCCTATGTTATTATCACTCATACCAGGCGATTTCGGTACTCCGGATTCCCTAGCACATCATCGATCCCCTATTTCCACCTTCGTATATGGCTGAGAAGAGCAGACGATAGCGACGGTCCAAACTTCTATTCCTCGTTTGAACACATTAGCATTTGAGTCGATATCTCCACCGCCAAATCTCTTGGTCACAAGCCGATTCGGCATTTCCATTCGAAGAAAGCAACCTCGAACGAAAGTAACTCGAAATCCCATTGCGGCACCCAACCTCAGGCCAAGTCCGACACTGTAGTCACTCCACACTGTTGTAGTGCTTAGATTTGCTAGTTTAATATTTGGATCACTATTGAATAATGGCAAAAATTGAGTAGCCGAAGCTAGTGGTGAAGCTCCTACCGAACTGGTTCTGTGAAGTCTGAAACCAGCTTAGATCTGCCATGACATTATCGTTCCATTCTGTAGAGATCATTTATCGTTCTTTATTTTTTTGTTTTGTTTTGCAAGAGATGTCTGCTTTGATTGTTTCTACTCTTTCTCATTACGCCTTTATTTTCATAAAGATGAGATTTAGACTTGAATGGTAACATTAATGAATTTCAAATTTCAGTGCTGTTTATTTTGCAATACCATTTCATTATTTCTTGCTTGCTAAACTAGTTGAGTGATTCGAAATTAGACTATGTGTGAAGCTTGATCTCAACTGTAGTTTCGGTCGGACATGAAAGGGTTGTTCACTGTTGCTCAAACTGAAGGACTGTCGGGGATGATTTCCTAGGGACTGTAGCAAAAGAATACCAAATTTCTAGGGCTACGTGACATGATTTAAATCAGGGAAGAATTGATACATAGAATTAAAGGTGAATGGCCGAGGAGAATTGTTAACCAATAAAAGATAATAAATAAAATAAAAGATAAAAAATAATAAGAAATAAGAAAATAAAAAAGAGAAGGAGAAAAATAAATTAAGCAATTAACAAATTTGAAGTGGGTAGATTAATTTTTCTACATTCATGCATAGTTAGTTAACAAGGGGGGAGGATAAGTCCCTGAAAAGGGAAACAACAATATAATCTGAAATAGAAAAAAAAGATATTTGTTAGTTAGGTTGATTCTCTTGTGTTGATTTACTTGGCTTGTTTTGCTTCTCTCCATTATTTATGTCTCTAGTTTAATTACTTTCTTGCATATTTCGTGTTTGTGCTTATTTGGAATCTCATGTAAGTCCCATCTATTGGACCCGGGGGTGCCTAATCCCTTCTCTCTCCATTCCGAGTCTTATCCAGACTGGTTAGTCGATGCCTCGGGTTTTGGAGTCGCTAATAAATCAAAAACACTTTCCGTTGTAAGTCTCGGAGGTCCCATCACTTCCTTTTCATTTACTTGACGGGTGGCGATTTCATTTCCAGCCTAAGTGGCAAGTGAGCCATTTTTCTGATGCTCACAGACCCAACTTCCCCGACCCCATTAGGTCGGAGATGGGGATTGCTTTGGTGGGGCGGGAATGGGGATGGGGATTAATAGGGATCCCTGATCAGAGTTGGGGTTAGGGATGGGGATTGAGGTCCCCACCCCGCCCCTACCTTGATTATATATATTAAATATATATTATTATATATATCAAAATATATTTAAAAAAATATTTATATTTTAAAATATTTATTTATTTTTCAAAAAATAGAGTTAACTAAAAAAATTTTAGGGATTCGGGTCCCTACGGGGAATGATGGAGGACAACTTTTATCTCCAATGGGAATTGAGGATAGGGATTAATTTCAAAACTGGGGAAGAGGACGGGGAATATGATCCCACCCCAAACCTGACCAATTGCCATTCCTACACACATTACACC